GACCTTTGGAAGCACAGGTGAGGCAGCAAGGAATATCGAGGGGGAGGGGTCCCGAGCTAGGAGAGCGAGGCAGTCCTCACGTGGGTGGGGGAGGGTATTCTGGTGAAAGGAACGCTCTTCTCCAAAGCCTGGAAGCTGCTGTCACTTCACACCCCTTAGGATGGCTGCTAGCCACAAAACAGAAAATCCTGAGTGTTGGCGAGGATGTGGAGAAATTGGACCCCTTGTGCATTGCTGGTGGGAATGCACAACGGTGCAGCTTTTGTGGAAAACAGTATGATGCTTCCTCAAGAAATTTAAAATAGAATTACCATATGATCCAGCAATTTCACTTCTGGGTATGTATCCAAAAGAATTGAAACAGGCTTTCAAAGAGATCTTTGCACACTCAGCTTCATAGCAGCACAATTATTCACAGTAGCCAGGAGGGGGGAGCAACCTAAGTGTCCACTGATGAATGAATGGATAAAGAAAGTGCCATACACATCAGTGGAAGATTACGCAGCCTTAAAAAGGAAGGAAATCCTGTCACATGCTACAACATGCATGAACCTCGAGGACAAACGTTGTGCTCAGTGAAATAAGCCAGTGACAAAAGGACAAATAGTGTCTGATTCCACTTACAGGAGGTACCCAGAGTCGTCAAATCCATAGAGACAGAAAGCAGAATGTTGAGTGCCAGGGCCTGGGGGAGGGCAAGGGGGAATTAGTGCTTAATGGGGACAGTTTCCGTCGGGAAGATGAAACAATTTTAGAGATGGTGATCGTTGCACAACGGTGTGAATGTATTTACTGCCACTGAACTGTTCCTTTAAAAATGATTAAGACAGTAAATTTTATGGGTTTTTCACAATTAAAAAATTAACCTCATTTCAACAACATGTGAATCAAATTTTAGATCAGACACACAACAATTTTCAGTATTTGATGTTTTCTCTAGCAGCATTATTAAAGAAAATTTATATTTCTTAACATTTTGAAAAGAATAACAATTTCCCAAGCAACATTAGCCATCCAGAATTCAAATTTGCCAAAAGGGAAAACTTCCTTTTCAATCTTAGATTTAGCAATTTTCAGCGCAGTCAAAGCCCTGGTGGAACTTGGATTCTCGTGGCGGTACTGAAAGAGTCTGGAAGCTGGGAAGCACCTGGGCCATGCCGGAGTCCCACGGCCCTGCGCGGCTGCAGGTCAGAGTGTGCGGACACACACACACACATGGCTAGAGACGGCGGGGAGGAGGCCCCGGCCTGGCCGAGAAGGGCCTTGCTTGTTCGCTAGGCCTCAATGCCACGGCTAGTCCACAGTTTGACCCTCGAGTTAGGAGGGCCGCTCGAGGCCGCGTGGAGGATGGATCAGAGAGCAGAGGCATAGCCGGCCCTGGACTCCCACGGCCAGTGTTCGAGCCCCAGTGCACTCAGCAGTGGACCTCGGGCTGGGGGAGCAGTTAACCTTCTGTCCCCAGCTGCACCCTTGTGGAGTGGAGATAATGACAGAGGTCTGCAATTCCGAAATCCAAATGCTTTCCCAATGAAAGTCACTGTCGAACCTCATCTGGTGGCAAAACCCGATTTCAAGGGTGGGAGGCTTCTTCCGGGTGCTATCCCACTAACGTGACTTTTCTGACGCTCTCCCTGTGGACATACTAACGGGATGCTGTGAGTGCCCACCCGGCTAGGTCATGCAGAGGGCACACACCGTCTTTTCTTTCTAAAATCAAGTTCTGAAACGCATCTGTGTGCCAAGAGTGCTGGATAACGGACTGTGGACCTCAGTATCCCCCTCAGAAGACTAGGAAAATTCGTCCATTCATTCAGTCATGAAATACTCGTTCAGTGCATCGCTTCCCAAAATGGGGTGTGCAGAGCCCTGGGGCCCACATGCAACTATTTTTACAGTTGTGCCGCGTCATTATGCACCTGCGTCGCTGCGCAGAACTTGGCGCTGAGGTGCAGAAACAGCGCCCAGCATAGGGGCTGGTCCCTCAGCAGGACGGAGGCAGTGACTCGGCCCACACCGGTGGGCGTTGTGTTCCTCACATCCACGCACTCACAGTTTTGTAAAAATATGCCAGTTTCACTAAGACCGTCCTTGAAGAAGGAGTTAAAAGTATTAGTTTTAATGCTCGGCCCTTGTGCACACGTCTTTTTCTTATTCTGGATGAAGAAACGGGCGTCCCAGCACAGCGTCACACTTTGTGACGTTTAATGAAATGTGTCGACATCTGGAAGATCTGTTTAAGTCAGAGAACCAGTATTTTCCAAATGACCAATGAGCTACATTACAAAATCTTTCATAGGTAAAGGATCCATTCAAAGTGCAAGACAGGGGCCGGCTGGGTGGCATGGCAGGTAAGTGCGCACATTCCACTTCAGTGGCCCGGTGTTCGCTGGTTTGGATCCCAGGTGTGGATGTGGCACCACTTGGCAAGCCGTGCTGTGGCAGGCATCCCACATATAAAGTAGAGGAAGATGGGCACCAATGTTAGCTCAGGGCCAGTCTTCCTCAGCAAAAAGAGGAGGATTGGTGGCAGATGTTAGCTCAGGGCTAATCTTCCTTGAAAAAAAAAGTGCAAGAGAGACCAATGGGTTTTTAAGAAATAGAATATGAAATGTTCATTGATATGATTTCAGATTGCATATTGCAACTAACCTTTCAGAAACTACCGCTTGTTGAATTTTGGCATAATATGAAGGAAGAATGTCCACAGCGATCTGATGAGGCTAATAAAACACTCCTCCCTTTGCCAACTACATATCTCTGAGAGGCTGGATTTCCCTCAGACACTTGAACCAAAATAACAGATTGCACAGCAGAAACGAAAATCCAGCTATTTTGTTTTGTTTTGGGAGATACAGAGAATGTTCATTAAAATATATTAATTTAGAAAACATGAAGTGGGTCTTTATTGCCATTGTAAATGAATCAATCAAGAAACATGCTTAAAAAGTGTCCGTTTCAGTTTCTAATACAGTAAATATCATTAGGTATATTCCAAGTAGAAAAAGCTCTTTGGGGCTCTCAGTAATTTGTAAGAGAGTAGCAAGTTCTGAGACCAGAGCTTGAGAGGCTGGCTGGGCATGGCTGTGTGCCAGCCCCTCTCACAGGAGGGAGCTCAACCACAGGAGACAAGGCCCCACCTCCTAAAGCTCAGGTGCCAGCGCGGCGGACAGCACACATGTGGACACGTACCTTCAAACAGCCATAAGTGCGGAGAAGAATACAACTGGGTCAGGAGCTGTATCAGGCAGCGTGGTCTCATGGTCTCGCTCTGGGACTATCTGTGTCCAAAGATGTGGAGGAAGAATGTTCCAGACAGAGGGGAGGGCAAAGACAGAAGGAAGAGAACCCCCTGAGGTGGGAAGGCTTGGATGGCAGAAGTAGGGTACCGGGCTCACAGGCGGAGGCGAGCGTTAGAACCTCAGGTAAGGGCATGGCAGAGGCCGATCACAGAGGGCCTGGAAGGGTGTGAAGGGTGTTTTTCGGGTCTCTTCTAATTCTCAGCATTCTTCGAAGCCCCTGGTGTAGAGTGAAGATGTGAGAGCCTCTGACAGTGTGGGACAGACTGCAGGGACCAGGAGAACTTGAAAGACCAGTTAGGAGGATCCCTCAGCAGTCTAGGGGGAGAAGACAGGGCCGTGGAGTGAGAGGAAGAGGCGAGAGTGGGTAATTGCGGGATGGGTGGAAGGCAGAGGCCACCGGCCTGCTGAAGGCCAGGGTGTGGCCCCTGAGAGATGGAGGAATCAGGACTGTCTCCTAGGGGCTTAGCCAGAGCAACTGGGTGAATGCGGAAAACTGGGGAGGAGCAGAGGGGTGTAGTGGTGGGTGGCACAGGACTGAACTGATCCCATTTGGGCTGTTGGTTTTGAGATGCTCATTAGACCCAAGTGGAGGTGGCCAGGAGGCAGGCAGGTGCATAAGTTGCATGCTCAGAGCTGAAGAGAAATCTCCACTGTCACTCCAGCAGTGATGGCAGTCAGGGCCCATCCCTTCAGAGCTGGGAGGAGGGGGGCGGGTAGGGGTAACTGCAGGGTACGGATGGAGCAGGGTTAAGTGGAGAAGGAGACAGCAGACTCCTGTTTTCTGGTTACTCTTGGCTGCCATGGCTTTGGGAAACCCCCAAACCTCAGAACCCCCCCTTGTGGCTGGAGGCAGTTCACCCCCCACTCAGGGCATTTATTCTCGGGAATCTGGGGAGGGGGAAGCAGAGGGGGGCTTGAGAGTGTCTTTCCAAGCGGGTAGGAGGGGGTGGAGGCTGAGGCCTGGATAGGCAGGGCGCAGCCCCACCGGAATGGGAATGGGCGGGTGGAAGCTGAGTCGCGCTGACCCCGGGCAAGAGAAAGAGAGCAGCCCCTGCGCCTGCGGCAGGGAGACTGCGGGGGGGTGGGGGGGTGGGGGGGTTGCTCGCCACCGTGGGCCACAGAGCCATCAGAGGCGGAACGCTGCCCCTCTTTTCTCCTAGGTCCTCTTCTCGCTTAGCCATGCATCCCCTAGATCCTGTCCTCTTCTGCTGTGTCTTCCATTTCGGACCTTTACACCATGTAGACACTTCCGCGCGTCTTCATTGGACCAACGGCCTCCCCCTGAGTTCGGTTTTTTAAAAGATCCCCTGCTTCAGCGATTCCCTCCTGGGCCGCTGAGGATGAGAGGGGTCACTGAGCCGCAATCCCTCCTAACCTCTGACCTCTCTCTCCTTCCCTTCCAGCAGCCTCCCTGCGCGCCCAGCTCCCCTCCTTCCTGAGGCTCTCCAGAAAAAGAGCGCACGCGTTTAAAACGAGGGTGGGGGAGGCGCAGGAAGGCGCGACGCAGAAGGAGATCACATTTCTTCAAGGTGCGCACTTCTCGAACGCAGCGGAGACCTGCGGGCCGGGGAGGGGCGGGCGGCTCTGCGGACCGGTTCTCCCCAGAGGGGCCTCCCCGGCTCCGCCACCCGGGGGGAGACGCCGTGCACGGCCCACGTGGGTGCCTGCTCCCCGCCCCCCGCAAACAACGGGAACGTGAGGGAAGCAGCGAAAAGACTTTAATTTTAAAGTGGGGGAGGGGACAGTGGGGGAGTTTTTGAACAGCACGGTGCTTAGGGAAGCAAGTCTGGCTAGACCCGCGCGGCCGTGGAGACCCACGCGGGGACGTCACGGGGCTAGGGCGAGGTGATCGTCCGGGGTCCTTGGGACATGCAGGACGCGCTCGGGGAGGGTCGGAGGCGGCCGGAAGCTCAGGGTCACTCGGTTAGGACCGCCTGTGGGCGTTCTGGTGGGGTGGGGGTGGGGGAATGCGGTTTCAGACCTTGCCACCCTGGGAGTGCCACCCTTTCACTGTGTCTGGACGAGCGGCTTTGAAGTCACTGCCTTGGCTCGGCCCCCTCCCGCGTCCCCGCCCGGCGCAGCGCGGAACCGCCAGGCCGGGCCGGGCCCCTGCTTTGTCGCTAAGCGCTTATTGCAGCGGCTCATTGGACCACGTCGGTGGGGCGATCGCAGCCCTCTGATCTGTGAGCTGCAAAGAGCTCAGCGGTTCATTCACAAATCCGCGCCCGGAGCCGGCCCTCGCCACGCCCGAGCCCTGGGGCCCGCGCTCCAGGGGTGCTGGACGCTGCGGCGGGGGCCCCGCTCCGCGCACTTCGCCTCCTCGAGGGTGCCCCGGGAACTGGGGGGACAGGCTTTCACCTCGGAGGAAGAGTTCGCAGCCATGAAGTCTGCCTCACTGACCCGGGCTCTGACTCCTGAGCCCTCGTTGTCGAGACAAGAGTCTCCACTGGTTCGGAGTCCGCTCCTCGCCGGAAAGCAGGAGCGCGGCCCGGGAGTATCCCCAGGGGTCTGCTCTGAGCCAGAGGGCAAGAGTGTAGACCCTCCCTGCCTCCTGGGGCAGGGCCGGCGCCGACGCACAGCGCCCCCTCCCTCCCTCCTGGGACGTGGTGGGGCACCCGGCCGGTCACTAGAAATCACCCCTCAAACCACGCTTGCCCAGGAGTTCGCTGCTTACTCAGATGAGCAAGGGAGAGGGAAACCCTCGGAGGAAACCTGCCTAGGGCCTCCTGGGGGTCTCACAGCGAGGGATCCCCTCACCGAACCTGCTGTCACGACGAGGTGGGGAGGGGAGTTGGGAGAGGGGTAGAGGAGCCGCGCCCCCGACAGAGGCTGACAATTCTGGAAGGAAGAGACCGGGTCACACCCCAGCGAGCAAAGGCCGGCGCCCCTACCTCCTCCCCCCACCGCACACAGGCCCCCTCCCCCACCGCCCCGCGTGCGCATTCGGCCAGGCGGGCGCAAGAAGGGAAAAATCCACTGTGGGGCTCTCTCCCCCCGCCTCTGACATGGAGACTACGGCCCCCTGGGCGGAGAAACCCGGTGCTCCGTGCTCTCCGGAGACACCTCTGGGCCATTTCTGGGTGATGCAGTGAGCGCCCCGCGGAGCAGCCTGGACTGCGGTGGGCGCCCGGGAATGCTCATGTCCCCCCAACCCCGACCCGAGCAAGGCCCATCCTGCCCCCACCCCACCCCGCCGTGAGCCTGGGCGTGCGACGCGCTTCGCTTCCCGGAGAGGGAGCTCTCCCAGCGCCCCGGCGCGGGCGGGCATCGCTGCTTTCTTCTCGCTCGATTTTGTGTTTTCCAGGAGTTGTTTCCACTGCGGAAAGGAGATTCCCGCCTGGGCAGAAAGGCTATAAGCCTGCGTTCGGCCCAGTCGCGGAGGCTGGCAGAAGCTCGCCGCTTTGCGGATCTACATCCGAAATCCATTCTGGCCGCGGACTGCGAAGAATGCCTCCGGAACGAGGTTTCAACCGATCGAGACCTGCTTTCACATTCTATTCTCAAGGCTGAGCTTTCCGTGGCTGCTTTGCACGAGGAGCAGCTGAACTTGTATCTGCAAATAAGACAGAAATCCTAAGCTTCGCCCAAAGTGTGTCATTTGTTTGGGGACCCCGCGCTTTGCCGTCCGAGCCCGTCAACCATACCCCGGCACCAAACCTTCCAGTCCCGGCCAGCTGCCTCAGACCCCTCACCCCCAGGCGCGGGTCCCCAACATCTGTATCCCAGAGGCTGCGGCGCCGCCCAAGTCAGCCCTGGCGGTGCGAACTGAGAGCTAAAAGGAGGCGGTTAATTAGAACAGCCCTTATTTCTCGCTCCCGGTAGATGGGGAGGTGTAAATCCGAGGAATTTAAGGGCATTAGCTACACATGTGGGAAATCCTCCTGCATATCCCATTTCTCTCTCCTGGCCTGTGTTAATACTCCAAATGGTGTCGAGTTCCTGAACTTTGCCGTCATCACAGAGGCTGTTGTGTCTTAGGGGATTAACTGATATGAGACACACACAAAACCCTGAAACTCCGTGACATAAAACACAACACAAAGAGGCTGCCTGCGGAGAAATGGGGTAGTTTTTAAGCTGGATTGAGGAGAGGGAAGAGTTTTTTTTGGAGGAGAAAGAGAGCACTTCTGGAATGTGCCTTAACTTTAAAATATTGCATTGCTGGGCTTTTTTTCCGTAAGTGGAGGAGATGTGCTGGGCTGAGGGAAGAGAAGCGGAAAGGAGTGCAGGAAAAGGTACTGAGAGTGATGCCCCGGCCGCATGGGAGCCCACAGGACGGCCGGGAAGGCAGTTTGGGCCATGGGGACACTCTCTGCAGGCAGTAACAAAGGGCACGCACCCACGGTGCAGGGTGGCACCAGCGCCCATCCTAGAAGGAGCATTCACGAGGCTCAGGACCAAGCCTTTGTGCTCCTAAGAGGCCCCCACTCTTCCCGTGGGTGCTCTCTATACCCAGCACCAGAACTGACTGGGTTGGGTCCGCCGTACTATCCATTTAAGAATGTTCATCGCTTAGATACTCATGCTAAAGAAATGACCAGCTTCATTGAACTCACTGGAATTGGTCAATGATTTATCAAGTATAGAGAATGTTTGAATTTAATTCACAATTTAGCTTCACCCTTTTATATCAAACTATATATTTTAATATCTTTCTATTTGATAAAGGAAAAAAATCAATTCCATGACTAGCTTGAACGCAGGTTTTAAAAAGAATCAATTTCTCCCAACTTAACCAGCACCTCACTCTACGAGAGTGGCCCCAGTGAAGCACTATGCAGGTGTGGGTATGTGGGGATGATAGCGGAGATATTTTCTTCCTGACATAAAACCCAAACTAACGAGTTATTTGTCTCACCAGCTGTAGGTAGGTTCTCTGGGCTGGATCCAGATGGTTTAAGTTAAACCTGAACTTGTCTAAAATTCGGGAACTCTCTAGTCACTCAAATCGTATTTACAAAAATAGTGTCAAGTCAGCATAGGTGAGTGTATGCCACGCGGCCTCTCTGTGATGGCCCGTGGCTTTTAGAGAAAGAAAGAAGGAAAGAAACCTCACTCTCTGTGAGGTGAAGCAGGTGTTCCGAGAGTGCCTTTGGAAGATCTTGTTTTCCTTCTGAAGGTCAAAAAGAAGACAGTGGATAGATCCTTGAATTTCTTCCACTCTTTGTGATTGTGAGAATGGAGAGGATGGCTAACTTTCTTCTCAACTCATTGTCCTTTGATACGTCTTTTCTTGTTTTGGTGTGCTCAGCCAGCTCAAGCTGGAGGTGCTGCTCTTCAAATTCCTTTGCCACAGCAATTTTACTTATTGACCTCTGGATTATTTGGAATGTGTCCCTTTCTTCCGGGCTGCTGCAATTCTGAGGGGACATTTTCTTTACAGTAGAGGCATTAGGTCATAGAAGTCTGTGTGACTCCCAAACATGACCCTCCACAACAGGCTGGTCAGGGAAGACCCCAACGCCAGACCCCAGGACTTGGGTCTGTTCCATGAGGACACAGTGCTCGACCTGGAGTGGAAGTGGGCCCAACTTCCAGAGGGGTCCAAATTTTACTGGGATGAAGAACAGCGTGAAACAGAGTGAGAGAGCAGGAAAGGGGCCCCAGGACACAAGGTGATTCCCAAGGAATCCCAAGCCAGGTCATTTAAGTCCAGAGTCGCCTGGCCCTGGAGAAAACCAAGGGAGGGTGGACAGTGGGGCCAAGCCAGAGGAGTGAGTTTGGGTGCGGGTTCACTGGCACAAGTACTAGGGTCATCCTACGGATTCCGCAGTAGAAGTGCCTGCTTTCATGAGAAACCAGGTTAGAGGGCTTCACATCTTGTCTCCAGCCTGGAGATCCCACCCATCCTACTAACGTCTCTGCAGCTCTCCCAGGCTAGCGCTGGGGCTAAGTATCGACAGTGGGTCCTCTCCCTGTGGCCTGGACAGGAGAGCCTACTCATGCCTCACCCCCTTCATGCCCCCAACACCCAGGAAGCTTTTGCTGGGGACAGGCTGCTGCTTCTCCAGCTCTCGGGGCAAGGCTGCCTGCTGCCCACCCCTCCTCGGCCGGCCGAGCCTCGGCCAGCACTGACACACCGGCGGGCTCTCCGGGCCCCACGGGGCGCCCCTGGGGAGCTGGGCGCCCTTTGCAGGCCTCGGGCAGGGGCCTCTGAGCTCAAGGGCCTGTGCACCCCACTGCCCACGACGCTTCAGGCCCTCTCCAGGCGCGCCACTGCTGCGTTTAACCCCTTCCTTCCTGGGGTTACTCGGACGAGGTCCCTGACCCCGGGCCCCAGCCTCCTCGACCCCGGCCCCCAAGTGCTCCCGGTGGGCCTGGAGGGCTGTGCTCCGCTCGGCGGCGAGCCCAGACGCGCTCCCGCGGCGCCGCTGCCCCGCCCGACCCCCGCTGCTCCCCGCGCCCCCGCATTTCGGCCTTTGTCTGCAGGCCGAGGTCGGGCGGCAGCGCCACGAGCCGCGGTGGCTCTCGCCCGGCCTGACCGCTTCTCCCCGCTCGGCCCCACCCCCCGCGCGCCGCCCGCCGCCCGCCGCCCCGGGCCCAGCCGCGCAGGGTCCCCGGCCCGATTTTGTTGGGGTCGACATTTCGCTCTCCGGAATTGTTGGGCGTCTCTACCAATCGAGTGACAAGGACCCCCGCGGGCGAACTGCGCTCTCATTGCGTTCGTTTTTTTCTGAGTGTCCCCACGCCCACCTAGAGAAGTGTGGGAAGTGAGGGGACAGCGGAGCTGCAGGGAGAGTCATCCTCCTCCGGCCTCGTTTTAAGGAGAAACGGGAGGCCGGGTCCGCAGGCCGGGCGCCCAGCGTCTCCGGGAGCGCTTCTGCCCCGCAGCGGGCGAGAGCTGGTCTGAAAGGCTCGCGTCGCTTCCAAGTCCACCGAGTCCGGAAGCCGTCTTTCCTCTCGATGTCGCCGAGGCCCCTCTTTGTGCAGCGAGCCCGGGAGGGTGGAGGATGGTTCTCCGTAAGCGGGTGGTTTGAGGACCCTCTTCTGGACCCGGCGAGAGTAGAAGGGGTCGGTTCCGGACCTCGGCCTCACTGTGTGTCGCGGAGAAGCAATGTCCGGCGACGGTTCGTCTGATCGCGCGCAGAGAAGCCGACCTGGAGGGCGGCGGTCCTGGGGGAGAGCGGAGCGCGTGGCTCGCTGGGGCGGGGCCGCCGGCCGCAGGCAGGGCTGGCATCTCCGACCCCGGAGCAGAGACGTGGAAATGCCCACGCGCCCAGAAAGCACCGCCAGGCCGTGTCCCAGATGCGGCAGGAGGCCGGCGCTGGGCCTCGAGCGTGTTTCAGAAGCTTCCTGAAACAGCTTGTTGCGGTTGCTGTGTTTGTAAGATTTAGAACTTGCTCCTCCCAAGAGTAAACCAAGTTTCTGCAGCTTCTGTTCAGATTCCCCAACCCTCCTCGCTGGCCCTTGGGATGGTGCCCACTCTCAAGGGGTGCTCTTTTCTGGAATTATTTTTATGTTTGGGTCGGCTTTGGGTGGCCTGATACTCTTCCGATTATTTCTCTCCTCATTCCTTTCTCTTTTGCCTCTTCCTCCTCCAGCTGCGGCCAGCCAGCCACCCACCTCCAGGCCAATAACTCAGGAATCCACCTTCTTCCTCCAACTCCCTGACCTCGCAGCCTGGAGGCCGGCTGTGTGCAGGTTGCTGCCCACACGCTGACTAGGTTTGCCTGGAGATGATGACCTGCTGCTTTTAGAGTTTATGTTGCAGCCATGAATTTGGGGCTGTGTCGCGGGAAAGAACACCACAGAAGTCCAGCATCTCGGGCTCATTTAATGCTAAGGCAATCAGAGGCAAAGATTCCCAAGAAATTAGAAGATATTTTTCAGGAGAAGGCTTAATTGGTTTTCATGGGACAGGTGGAGAAATTAACCTTTGCAGGAAGCAAACCAGCCCTGGGCCCTCCCTCCACCCACTCCGCCTTCTGGGGACCCAAAATAATTGGACAGACCCTGGCTGGTGATGATTAGGGTTCCCAATTTGCAGGAAATTTTTTCCCCAAATCCTAAACATGTGTCAACAAGGTGTTCCCCCAAACCTCACCAGCACCATTTTCCTAGGGGCAGGCAGACTGTGGGGGTTAATTCTCTTGAGACCCAGGGAGGGCCCTTAGCAGATGTGTGCCTAGCCAGATAACCTGATGAAGACTTCTCCGATGGGGGGAGAATGAGGGAGGGGACGTGAGTCACCCCAAGGGAGAAGTGGCTTTCCCACCCTCCTTGAGTCTCATAGAGGACTGCTGAGCCTCCCCACCTGCCTCCAGAGTCTACCCACACCCGGTGCACCTCCATGCCTTCAGTGGCCAGGTGACCCAGCCCACGGCCTCCACGCCCCTCCTCCGCAGGTTAATTTCCCTGGGAGCAGTGCCTTGTAACTGTTGCTTCTCCTCTCTCCTGCACCTTGGAGCCTGCAGGGGGTGGACAGAGCAGGAGTGGAGAAAGGACAGGACCTGGGAGGGGACAGGAGGAGAGGTGAGCCAGGCTAGGTTGAAGCCATCAAGCCTCAAGGTGGCCTGGTGGTCACATTGCCTGGAGGGCTGCTTGCCCAGACCTTATTCTCGTCTCTCCCAGGGACTGGCAGCTTCCAGCTGGCAGCCCAAGGCCGAGACCCAGCTCCGCAGTAGGCCTCGCTGCTGGGCACCCTGCAGCTGCGTGGACCAGCCAGACCTAGGGCCCTGGCTCTCCCCGCTCTCACCCTCCCACCCCTCTTTCCACCAAGGATACTTTTTTGTTTTTCTTAAAGATTGGCACCTGAGCTAACTGTTGCCAATCTTTTTTTTCTTCTTCTTCTCCCCCAAAGCCCCCCAGTACATAGTTGTATATTCTAGCTGTGAGTTCCTCTGGTTATGCTATGTGGGACACCACCTCAGCATGGCCTGATGAGCGGTGCCATGTCTGCGCCCAGGATCCAAACTGGCGAAACCACCAAGGACACTTTTATTGTGCCAACACGCCTGCACCCTCAGAGTTGCCCTTTCTGATGTTTCACAGATTTCAAAAACTTCCCTAAAAATGCATTTTAAACGATGGACAGGTGTGCCTGGGGTAACAGCGGTGTTTCTTGGGGTGTCCGTGGCTGGGGGCAAGGAAAGAAGAGCAAAGAGGAAGGAGTCTGAGCAGGGGAAGAGAAGAGGAAACAGAAGCCCAGCTTGGGCATCTGACAGCAGCTGGAAAGGAAGTTTAGAGCTGTGGAGCAAAGAGGGGAGGCAGCAACAACCTGGGGCCCCCACCCCACCACTAGGCTCCTAACTCCCCTTCCACATGGGCCCTGCTCTCCTGGGAAACTAGTTTAAAAGATTTTAAGACAAAGAACATGAGGCGAATGGCCTGTGGCCCCTCAATCGGGTAGAGACTTGAGGGGCTCAGATGACTGTCTGGGAACTGGAGGGAGGCAGCTGCTTGAGGTATCTTCCTCCGGATGGTTCTGAAGGTTTGTCTGAAATAGCGGCCCTCCTCTCCTTTCCAAAACAGAAGATTCACTGATAACTCCCTATGCTCCTTTATTTATTTCTCTTTCCCCACGCGGAGCCCCAAATCGTATTCCCGCGCTCTTCCGGCTTTGCATGCATGTTTCATGAGGATCGTGTCCCCGGGTGGAATCCTACCGTATGCACGCGCCTCCCTGCACACGCAAACGCACACACATGCACACTTACAGTGTGTCTACAAGAGGAGGGTTCTGCGCCCGCCAGCTCTGCGTTTAAGACAGGAATCTGCCAGGTTACCAAAGTCAAACGTAAGTAACAATTTCCCTCTCCACCAGCAAGGAAAGCGGACTACAAAAGTCCCTTTGTATGTCGGCAGCTCATTTAATATTATTTACGCATTTTTGTGCAAGGAATTGTGGGATTTTTCCCCACGGTAAACAATATGGAAATGTTAAAAATAGCAATCTTCCAGCGCGCGTCGAATATGCACTCCAGGGTGACCTGGTGGGGCTGTCGCGGGGGTTCCTTGGATGCCCGAACCGAGAAGCGGCGGGCAAAGCACGAGCGAGCGCGCGGGACGCGGCCGCGGTCTCGCCGCTTCTGGGCTCCCGCACCGGAGCGCGGGGACGCGGCCGCTTTAAGGGGGGGAGGGGCGGCGGAGGCGGGGAGGGGCGGCGGGCGGCTCCTGTCACCCAGCGGCCGCCGGCGCGTCACGTGGGCGCGCGGCGCCGCGGCCATTGGCCCGAGGCACGTGTCCAGGAGACCGGCCCGCGACGTCACTCGAGGGGGCTCTGTTAAAAATAAGAACAAAAATCCAGAGTGAAAGTGTCTCAGGTTGCGCTAAGTGGCCTGGAAATCCCCGAGCCCGCGCGGCGGCCGCGGCGGCGAGGGCGCGCAGACGGCGAGCGAGGCGGGCGGCGCAGCCCGCCCGGCCCGGCCCGGCCCGGCCCGCGCCTCCCGCCGCTCACCCATGCGCCTGGGGCCGCGGGGCTCGGCGCGGCTCGGCGGGGGCGCGGCCGCACGCCGGGGGGCGCCCCGGCCCGCAGCTGGGCGGCGGCCGCGCGGAGGGGGCCCCGAGGCCGGCGGAGCGCAGCGCGGGCCCGCGGGCCTCCATGTGCGTGCTGGCGGCGGCGGGCGCGCTGAGCGCGGGCGCCCCGCACCCTCGAGGGCCGGCCGGGGCGCGCGGGCGGGGGCGGCCGGGCGGCGGCGGCGGCCCTAGCGGGCCCGGGCGGGCGTGAGCGCCGGGGCGCGCTGCCTGCATGCGCGCAGCTCCAGCCCCGGGCGGCCGCGGCGGCAGCGCTGGAGCCGGAGGCAGCCGGACGCGGAGAGGCGCTTGGAGCCCGGGAGGCGCTCCGAGTCCCCGCTGGACCACGGTGACTGTCTAGCGCCCGGGTGCGCTGCCAGGACGAGGACCGGACTCTTTTTGAATCGCTCTGCGTCTGGGCGCGGGGCGAATCTTGGTATTTTCTAACTCAACTTGTGGATTGGAACGTGGCTCCGCTCGGAGCGCGGCCAGCGACTTGTAGGACCCCAGCCCTGGCCGCGGCCGCCGCGCACGCCCTCAGAAGACTCGGCGGGGGAGGGGCGCGGGCCGGCCGCGAGGGTCGACTTGTGCGCCGCATCGGGCGCAGGGCTGATTGGAGGGGGGTCCCCGGAGAACCCATTTGGGATTTGTTTGAACAGCATGGAGGAGAATGACCCCAAGCCCAGCGAAGCGGCGGCGGCGGCGGCGGCGGCGGAGGGGCAGCGGCAGCCGGAATCCAGCCCCAGCGGTGGCTCGGGTGGCGGCGGCAGCAGCCCGGGCGACGCGGACACTGGCCGCCGGCGGGCTCTGATGCTGCCCGCGGTCTTGCAGGCGCCGGGCAACCACCAGCACCCGCACCGCATCACCAACTTCTTCATCGACAACATCCTGCGGCCCGAGTTCGGCCGGAGAAAGGACACGGGGACGTGCTGTGCCGGCGCGGGAGGAGCGAGAGGCGGCGGAGCCGGCGGCGAAGGCGGCGCTGGCGGCGCAGAGGGAGGCTGCGGCGCGGGCGGCGCCGAGCAGCTCCTGGGGTCCGGCCGGGAGCCCCGGCAGAACACGCCCTGTGCGCCCGGTGCGGGCGGGCCGCTCCCCGGCGGCGGCGGCGACTCTCCGGGTGACGGGGAAGGCGGCTCCAAGGCGCTCTCGCTGCTCGGCGGCGCCAAGAAAGGAGGCGACCCCGGAGGCCCCCTGGACGGAGCGCTCAAGGCCCGCGGCTTGGGAGGCGGCGACCTGTCGGTGAGCTCGGACTCGGACAGCTCGCAGGCCAGCGCTAACCTGGGCGCGCAGCCCATGCTCTGGCCAGCCTGGGTCTACTGCACGCGCTACTCGGACCGGCCTTCTTCAGGTGAGCCCGCGGGAACCCCGCGTCCCGGCCCGCCATGGGGAGGCCGGCGGGGTTGCGGGACGGCGCTAGCTCGGGAACTTAGCAGGAGGAAGAAAACGCCAGGACCTTCCCCACCCCCAAACACACACAAAGGCGCACACACCCCGACCTTGTGTACGGCTGACGCTGGCCCGGGCAGTGGCCAGGAGGAGAGGAGGCAGGGTCTATTCGCAAGGGGGTGCAGACTTCTGAGAACAGCAGAAGCGCCAGGACCTCCTCTTTCTTTGGCCTTCTGGGGCTTCTCCTTGCAGCCCCTAGTCCACTGCTCCCTCTGGCAGGAGTTTATTTGGTAGGAAGGGGGTTGGCTGGAAGACAGGCCCGGAAGCCGGCACTCTTAACCCCTTTCCACGTCCTTCCAACTCAGTCCAGACCCGGGACCCACGCCCAGCCCACCCCCAGACCTAGATACTTCCTGCGACCCAGATGTAGCCAGGGAAGAAAGGGCAAGGCTGACTGCTCTTCCTGCGGCCCCGGTTCATGAGGGGGTAGCGGGGGATCCTCAGAGGCAAGGGATGGAAATGGAGGCGCCCTTTGCCCTCTGTCTGGTTTTATTTGCCGAGCCTGCGGCGGGGGAGCTCAGCACCCATCTTGCACACAGCTTGGAGGAAAGAGGCCTGCAATACCCCCAATAGAGAGGATCTTCTCCCAGAGCTTTCAAGGGGCTGCTCCCAGCTAGGAAAGAAGCACATTTCGGAGGGGCTGGGGATGGAGGGGCCTGCAAGTGTGTGCAGCGGTGCTGCAAGTGTTTTTCATAGATCTGGGATTTTAAAAAGCTGAGTCTATGTCCTTGTAGAAATCATCAGCTGCGTTAAATGTGGGTCTGTGGCTGCGAACCGCCATTAGGAGCAGATTCCATTTGTCCCCGAGCTGGCAGCACAGACCAGACACCCCCTGCCCCCCAGGCCTCAACTGTTTTGTGGGGGTTGTTTACCCAGATCACAACTGAGTCACCCCTTGGCCGCCTTCCCGCAGAAGTGTGCGTGTGTATCTCTGATGAAATCCAAATTTCTCCAGCTAGATCTGAAATTTGCTCCATTGTTCTCGCCTCCCTCCTTTGTTAATATTTAATTAACATATAGGCTCACAAAGCGGCCAGCGAGGAGCCTCGGCCCGGCTTTGTGCGGCGCCAAAGTCCCAGTGGCCCGCGGGAGCCCGGCAGCCCGGCCTGGCCCGAGCCGCTGGTCTTCCTGGACCGGAAAAAAAAAACCCACCGTAAGATCACGTCCGTGTTTGGGGACGTTTAAGAAGAAGCGGGGCAGAGAGTTTTTCTCGCGGAGGTTTGGTTCTGCTGCTGAGACTCCTAAGTGTTTGCGTTTTGTAAGAAAATCAGGACAGAAAGGGAACTAAAAATTCTGTTTTAGGGCGATTTTCTTTCCGTGAATGGTGTGTCTTTTTGCGGGCTGATTCGTGTGGCAAGGGCCCCAGGACTGCAGGAGTTTGAGGGGAGGGAGCGAGTAGAGACGAGAACCAGCTTTGGGAGCACGAGGCTGCGGTGGAGTCGGAGCAGGTGGGGGACCCCCGGGACTCTAGAGGCCTCACAGAGCCACCTCCTTCCCCCTTCGCTCCTCTGGGCAGCCCAGCCCAGCGCCCCGAATCGGCATCCGCTGGGTCACAGCCGGGCTGGCTGGTGCAGGGCCGGCACCCTCGGCCTTGTGTGTGACGGAGACTGTGAGTGTGTGCCTGGAGACGCGGCTGTGAATATGGGTGTGCTTTAAAATCTAAAGACCTGGAGTGTGAGTCTTAACAGCCCTTGGTGCCCACAGCCCCTTTCCGAGTTTGGCTCAGTTGGGGGAGGGAGTTCTGGGAGCCCCTAGGGTCTCTGGATGTTCCCAAACACCTCACTCGGCACCGCCCCAGGG